AAAATGTTTAAAAATACAAAAAAAATCTATTTTTATTATTTGTATTTTTTATAAATTGTATTTTATATTGTTTGTATTTTTTAATATTTGAAATGTTTGTTGTTATATGATGCATGGAACTGTTTCACATACTATTCTTACAAAATATCTGCCAGTATTCAGTGTTTTCTGTGTAGTATGTAGTAAGCAGTACGCTAGTGTTTCAATCTAATAACCAGTGCGTTTGTTGATCAGGAGACCTGTTCTGAGCCGTATTTCAACATGACAGGAACACTTTAAACTAGCAGTAAGAATAATGACCGTCTCTGTCTCTTTGTGTCTCTGTAGTGAAGTATATAAAGGAGATGTCGGTGTTTTTTAAGGCTGGATCGACAACGGGACCCCCAGTGCTTGATTCCCCTCCAGCCACCCCGCAGAAACAGACGGACCCCGCTCTTAAAGAGACCCGGACCATCCTGCTCCGAATGTGCCATGTGACACGCAAACAGTGTCCGCCTGACACAGAGGACAGGTACAAACATACCTGTAGTGCTTTTTATGAAATGATACATATCTGATTAGGCTGATATTGTAAGATCAGGATTTACTCCGGCTTTTCTAATTCAAATCTTAAACACCTGTATAATATTTTTTATATTGGTAATTTTTTAAGTTCAGCTATAACAAAATGATTTTAAATTACATGTCTCAGACTCAATATTCTGATTGGATGAAACACCTGTCAGCACATTCTACATTAATGCATCATAAAGCAGCCTACAGTTTGACTAATGAACTTTAATAGTTGGCAGAAGGGTTGTTTATAATGATTGTTATGGTATCATGTCATTTTGTAAAGGCATTATGTCGTGAAAGGTCATACTGAGCCTTGCCGTGTAAAGTCTGCTCTTCTGTCTCTGGAGGTATTTTGAGGTGGTGTCGTCAGACAGGAAGAAGGCTGTGTTTCTGCGGGCTAAAGATCACGCCATGGCTCAGGCCTGGTACAACGCCATCCAGACCGGAAGTACAGCGTTACTGAGCAGTGCTAAAGCTGAGCTCAAAGCCCTGCAGCCGAGTCTGGATGACGCACACCTAACATTCAAATGCAAATGTTTATTTTAAATTCGACTAATATTCAGTTTTTTTATTCACAATCTTCTCATCACAGGCAGGCATTACAGCATGTTCGTGTTCGTGTGTGCTGTCTGCATCACTCATAGCACTTGCCTATATCGTGCGCCATATCGAACATTTTTTCTATCGTTATCGAAGAAGGTGTACCGTCGATAAATATCGATACCGTTTTATCGCCCAGGCCTAATAAATGAGTAAACGTCAGTGGATGAACCGATGGGCAGATGTGAGACTGTATGTGCTCGTATCGCTCTCTGTTGGTTGCGCTCAAGAATGTTTTAGACCTTTTATAGGCTAATATTTTGAATAGCCCACTAACATACTACTCGTGCACAATGCTTTATTTATTTGTTTGTTTGTTTATTCGTTTATGCATGCATGATTTTTTAGCCTGCCAAAAGTTAAATCAAGTCAATACAAACACCAGAGTTTGTCATGTAGGGCCATATTCTGATAGAAATCAGTGTTATTTTAGTATTACTTATATACAACTGTAGTTTTTATAAAAATTTTGAAGTAGCTTTTATTTTAATTTTAGTTAAATTTTTAGTAATTTAATTATGTGCTTTTGTAATTCTTATTTATTTATTTGTTTGTTTGTTTGCTTATATATTTCTTTTTAAGTTTAATTTCTTTTAGTTCTTTTAGTTTATGTTTACTTAACTTTACTTATAAAGTTGTTGTTCACGGAGGAGGCCGGCGTCAGGAGGAACGTCCTTCTCCAGCAGCCCTTCGAGCATCTGCGCATGTCCTCAGACGACGGCATCCGCATGATGTTCCTCGACTTCGGAGGCCCAGAAGCCGAGATTGTAAGAGACATTTTTATGCTGTTGTATGCTTTTTATATTCTATATAGGCCTATACCAAAGTCAATGCATTATGCTTTCCTTTTTGTATCAGTGTTTAAAATATTTAATTTAAAACTAATGAATGAATTAATAAAACAAACTTACTGGGCGAGCAGGGTATACTATGACAGCCGTCATATCATACCCTGCCATGCCCAGCTGATGCAAAGCATAGAATTTATGTATACGCAGAAGAAAGCCCTGTAGGCTCTGCCCCGGCATGAGTTGTGTCGAGCTATTCGTTAGTCTGGTTGTTTGATGAGAAAAAGATGAAATGTAGTTGCAATAAACACGTTAAGAATCCGTACACCTGCAGCAGCGGAGGACTATTATTCTGCTGCACGGAACTGCGGAAGAACTGATGACGGCACGCTTTGATCTTCGGCTGACCAATCAGCAGAAAGGGGCGTTTCATTCCCGCCCACGTGCAGAAATCAAATAATCAAGCTGTTTATTCATTTTTCTACCCCTGAACGAAAAACTAAAAATTAAGTGGAATTCTTGTTTTTTTGTTTTTTGGGAAAAAATGAAAAGACGGATCCGTTTTTTCATTTTTCTTCTTTCAATATTAAATCAAAAAATGACTGAACGAATGATACACGGATTTACCCTGATTATACACGGATTGAATCGGACCCAACTCAAACATGTCAGTTTTTCCATTCTTTAAAAATATAATTTATGTTAATTTATTTCCTAATTTACGTTTAGTTTAGGTTTTTTTTAATGAACGTTTTAATTTTATTTAAACATTAAATGTTTAAATAAAATTAAAACCTAAAATTAAAAACAACAAAAAACATTTCAAATGTTTGTTGCATAATTTATACTGTTACAAATTTTTGTTTTATATTTTATATTTTTTGTTTTAATTTTACTTTAATTTTTATTCATTTTGTTATGAGCTTTTGTCATTTTTATTAGATTTTTAAAATTAGCTATTTATTTATTTCCAGTTAGTCATTTTAAATTGTTAGTAAATTTCAAACTTATATCAGGTTATTTCCTTTTTTAATAATTTGCATTAATTTATTTTCTAATTTATGTTTAGTGTAGGTTTTTCATGTAATGTTTTGTTTATTTTATTTTAGCTTTAAAATTAACAAAATTTTCTCTCTTTTTAATCTCAGTGGTATCTGAGAGAAACATTTGAGATATTGATGAGATCTCTTTTTTTAATTATTTCAGCAATTGGACCTTCACTCCTGCCCTAAAACCATCGTCTTCATCATTCACTCTTTCCTGTCGGCCAAGGTCAAGCGACTAGGGCTGTTGGCATGACAACGGCGCTCGGAAACCCCGCCTCCACAGGACAAACGCCATGACGACGGAAGCGACCGGTGGACCACTGGACATCAAGCCAAATCTTCCATCACAGACTGTGACGAGTCAGTGTTCAGACGCGGACGGCCCGAACCCACAGCCAATCAGTGATGATTTCACGCTGTTTTCCTCGTAGCGCTGACCTTTTATTTGTTATCATTTTATTGGTTTGTATCTCAGCTAAATTTATGGATGTTTAAAACATATCACATAATCATACTATCAGAGCAGCAACAGAAGCAAAACAAAATATTAAACTCTGTTCCAGAACCTACGTAGGCAGCTGTCTACTAAGGGAGCGTCTAGTCCGAACTGATTTGAGACACTCATGTCTGCTAAGATAATGCTGCAATAAGCGTAAAAATATGCATGAAATAGTCCATTGCAATAAAATAAATTTAATTAAACTAAAAAATAAATACATTAAATAAATACATTTAAAAATAAATAAATTATTTATTTATTAATAAAATAAATAATACATGTAAATAAAATAAAATAAAAAATAAATACACTTAAAAATAATACATTTAAATTAAATAGAATAAATTAATGAAATAAAAATAAAATAAATGCATATAAAAATAATAAATTGAATTGCTTTTTTAGTATTTAAACTTGAAACTTTATAATAATTTATCTTTACTCATCACCATCTTATATAGATTTTCCCCCCAAGCTTGTTGCAGTGCATTCTGGGATTGCCTTTAACACAAAGCCTACGTGTGATTCTGTATTCAAACTTTCCTGACAGCCTTCCTATGATGATGCCTTAAAAGTGCTGTCTAAGAAGGCAGCTCACTAGGTTTTGGAACAGAGACCGCGAAAACGCAGCTGCTCTGATCATGAAAAGGGCTTTAACGTTTGGCAGCTGAGAGCGTTTGAGAAATAAAATCTCAAAATTCACCTTTCTATGGTGAGAAATAATGCTTATTTCTGATTTGACTATCTTCTGACTTTAAATATAACCTTTTAAGACTCGTCGTCTTCCAGAATATCTGCTATGAATCTATGCATGTGTGAAGAGAGAGAATCGACCGGCCAAACCCTCACAAAAGGTACTTTATGATTATCATATTCGGATACTGTATGGCATATGGTTTTTGTAAGGGAAATATGGTTTGGTTTCTCTTTTTCTTTTACAAGCCAAAACTCTCAACTGAGAATCGTAATTCAGATTTAGATTTGGACAAACTTTCACTAAAAGTAGTTTGAGCTGAAAACCCCTTGGAGTTTATTTTAAATGACTGTGTTATACTGACCTCTAGTGGACGTAATGAGCATTACTCTCTGGCTGTGTTTACAATAGTATACTAACATACTGCATACTAGATCTGCCAGTTTTGGCGTTAACATGTTGCTAAGAATAAAAATACATCAAATACTCCATTAAAATAGTCCATTTATAATAAATTAAATTAAAATTAAAGAAATAAATAAGTAAAAAAAAAAATATATATTTAAATTAAATTATTATAGTTAAATCAATAAACTTGATACTTTTAATTTTTAATAATTTTTAATAATTACTTTCAACCAGAGCACGCTGCACTGAATACTCTATCCCACAATGCAATGCACTCGATCTTCCATATCCAGATAAATGCACCGTAAATAATATCAGTTGTGATTTTGAACTTGAATCATCATTTGTTTAGATACCTAAAAGTGACATGTTTACACATGCTTGCATTAAAAATTCATAACTCCTGGGATAAGCAGATGCTGTGTCTAGTGCTGCACAATGCATACTGTGTTTAAAACAGCAGGCAGTGTGCAGTATGCTAGTATTGCACTGTAAACACAGCCGCTTTTATGCAATATCATCTTGTTGTTATTTTTCTTTGTTTTTTACCTCCTTCCGACTGATTTGTGTGAGTAATGATGTACGCTCGCTCAGCTGTATTCCTCACAGACGTCTTCCTGTTTTCACATTTTTAACGAGCCGTTTGAGTTCTGCTCCAACTACATGGTGACGGCGATATGCAAGTGTTTTCTGCTCACAGTGGGACTTTTACAGCTGGAAAATATCCTTCATGTGGCCTTTTTAAACTCTACTAAATTTTAATATATTATAATTCAAACTAAACTATATTCAAACTATGTTAGCTATCGGATGGAAAATCATATTATATCCTTATTTAAACAAAAGAGTGCCTTTTAGTGTTGTTTGTATATAAAATTGCAATAAATATAACTGTTGACTTGGAGTTTTATGGGGTCATTTATGTCTCATATATGATCCAAAACACGGATGAAAAGACAACTAGGTAACTGTGTCTTAGATTGGTGTTTAGGAGAAATAAGATAGACATTGTTTGTGTCTGTCACGACTGTTGTTGTTGTTGTTGTTGTTGTTGTTGTTTTCTCGCTGCGAGACAAAGCTTCACTCTTCTCCTGCTTCTCCAGCAGACAAACATAAGAGTAGAATCAGGAAACAAAGCTATTTTTAATTTAATTTGAAAAAGTTACTGCCTGAAAGGTCAACCCGTTATTTTTAAAGGGAGAATTCAAAATCTATTTTCTCAGAAAATACATCAAACATTTTAGAAAAAAATTATAAAAATTAAAAAAATAGATATCCAGAGGGTGTAAATAAGGAAACAGAGCAATTTGTTCATTTAATTTAATTCAAAAAAGTTATTGTGTGAAATATCAAATCGTTATTTTTAAAGGGAGAATTCAAAAACTATTTAAATAAATGATAATGATAAAAACAAAAAACAAGATTCGGGGATATTCAGAGCACACAATCATTTTTAATTTAATTCAGAAAAAAGTTACTGTCTGAAATATCAAAGCATTATTTTTAAAGGGAGATTTCAAAAACAATTTTCCCAGAAAATACATCAAATATTTTAGAAAAACATATAAAACAAAAATGAGATTATGGGATAATCTGAGAGTGTAACTCAGGAAACAGAGCCTTTTTTATTTTATTATCATTATTCTTATTTAATTTGACACGGTTATTGCTTTTACAGTCATAGATGGTATGATCATTTTTTAAATAACCTTTATTTTTAAAGGGCATAACGGGGCTGAACAGAAAGTAGAGGACAAAGGAATATTCAATGTTTTAGGGAAAAAAACCTGCATATGACAATGGAAGAAGGATATTTTAATTTCAATAAAGTAATAAAAATTATCATTATTATTATTATTATAAAATAAAAAATAATAATTTTATTGGAATCATTTTATTGGTTGGATTTTTTTTTTTTCTTTTTTTTT